AAAAAAAAAAAGCATGGAAAGCATAGCAAAATTAAAAAAAGAAATGCTTATTTTAATGACTGTTTTCATGCATTTTCCTTTCTGCCTTTTTCCAAATCATGATGTACCGATGCATGTATTATAAATATGTACGTAATTGAGATTCTAATGCATGGAGACAGCTCTCTAACCACCTTTTAAAAGAGAGAATATCACATTGTAGAATGTTCCCATGACACTGCCCAAGCCCCCCAGCCACACCCACCGCTGTCCTGTGGATTCCTGCTCAGCAACCCTACAGGACAGAGTAGAATGGCTCCTTGGGGTTTCTGAGGCTGGGAATCTGTACAGGAACAGACAAACTCATCTTTCTCCCACCAAGGGGCTGGTGGGCTTGAACTGCCAAGACCAGTGTCTCAAAAGCACATTCCAGTCCTGCCTCCTGTCTGATGCACAAGCACTCCTGTGCAGGCTGGCCTGCAGCCCCAGTAGATTGCATCCTGTGGGCGAATCAGATGGGAGTTGTTCCGGCCCTTCTATCCCTTGACCTCTTGGCAGCCTTTCTTGCAATTGACCCTTCTTTTCTTCCCAAAACGCTTAGCTCTAAATTCCATGGGGCCCCGTACACCAGGCATAGTTCTGGAAAGATCATGTTGATGAGTTGAAAGATGGCTAGAACAAGAGGCGCCCCCTCTGATTTTAAGTGTTACCTTCCTCCTCGAGGGAGCATCGCTGTAATTACTATCAAAATGCTAGCTGCTGGGGTAAGCAGCTCCCTCCTCCCGCCCTACCTGCATAGGCACATCTCCCTTTTCACTGTCTACACTGGGGATGGGAGAGATGGACATGCCTTTCTCTTCCTCTTCCACTTTCTCCCCTGGCAGACATCATTAATTGAACAGAGCATCCTTCCTTCTCTGAGTTCCTCTTTAACAGCAAGCCACTGCCAACCAACAAGTGTCTCCACATTTCTTTATCAGGCCCCAACCAGCAGTTCCTGCCTCAGTCATGTGGTGACACCCAAGAGAATTGACGTCTCGCTTCCTACCTTCCTAAGGCCCTTCGCATTTCTAACTCGGCATATCCTCTCTTCAGGTGACTGGCATTAAGAATGACGAAACCAGTCAGGTTTATTATCACGTTACCTTTCCTGTCACTATTACTATTACTACAGCTGAAGCCTTTAGCACGTGGGATCTAGAGACCTGTCACCTGGACTCAAATTGTAGCCTTGCCTCCCATGCAGCCCCTTGGGCTGAGTGATTTTGGACCAGTTACTCAACCTCTCTGAGCCTCACATTCTCCTCTATAAATGGAAATGGGAGCAGAACAAGTCATAGATCGTGGAAAAGAGGCCATGCTAAATGTTAGCTATCCATAAGCTGTCCAGGGGCTAAATCCTCCGAGTGGACAGCCCATCCCTTCTTTGTAGGACGCCATGCTTGGTAAAGTAGAGGAGCAGTGGTACCTAACAGCAAAACACTTAGCAGAAAGCCTTATGTGTAGAATGAATTGAGTGCATGTTCTACCCATAACCTTTGTAACGCCCACTAAATGACTGGGTGGGACCATGCAGCTTGGTTGTGGGAAACAGATTTCATCAGAGCTCTCAGACTAAGACCAACAAAGAGGAAAGACTTGATGATCTACTTCGGGAAAACCAGCCAAGGAAACACTGTGGATCCAAAGATCTGAGTCCGTTGTACATGAGCCACCGTGAGTTGAGGGCCAACTCAACAGGCGTGAACAAGACCACCACCAATGCCCTGGATATAGTGTGAGCAGGACATGTCTAAACCCAAGCCTCTGTTTTCCCCAGCCACTGTCATGGATCAAATTTTGCCTCCCCACTCCCCCAAATACCTGGGCCAGGATTCTCAGGCATTTGGCAGTTTGGCAGTGGTGTGAATGGGCGGTGAGGCCATGAGTTCCCATGATGTGATCTGATGACCCAATCAGTTTTGAGGGGTCCAAGAATAAGGTGCAACACCTGAAAATGGTGGAAGCCCTGGTCTGACATAAGGGGAGTCCCCTGCATGGGACCTGCTTCGTCTTGTGTATTCTAAGAGATACACAGAGAACCGAGCAAGCAGAGAGAGCAGGACCTCAGTACTGACCAGGAAGAAGAGTCCTGGTAGTGGGAGTCTCCGCGGGACCCAAGGTCTTGGTGCTGACCACCTCCTAGACCCAGCAGCAGTTTGGTGCCAAGGCACGTGGAGCTCTCCAAGGAACATGGGGCCCACAGATGTGGGCAGGAGGCAAGGACCTCCCCCAGAGCCAATGACATGAGAAAGCCTTCCCCTAGAGAATTGTGATTTCCAGCTCCCAACGGTGAGAGAATACATCTGTTTGTTGAGGCCATTTGCTTGCGGTGTTTCTGTCATAGCAGCGCCGGATGCCAAGGACAGTCAGTCACCATCCTCCAGAATGGCCCAGGCACATCAGTGGCTCTCCCATACCCCTCTTGCCCTTACCTCCCATGCCGTAGATCATCATGTCCTGGCAAACCTTCCTCTGCCCTGGTTCCCCCCTCTGCACTCCAAGCAGCTATGGCTGTGGTCCCTGTTTGGCTTTCTGCAGTGTCCTCAATGGACAACCTTCCTCTGGTCACCCCCTCTCCCCCGGCCCCGCTTGCTTCAACCATTCTAGGCTGTCGGAGTCCACTTTGTAAAACCCCCAAACTAGTTGCTTTACAGTCAGGTCCCTTCTGACTCGGGGGACTCGTGTGTGTCAGACAGAGCCGCATTCCCGGGGTTTTCATGGCTGATGGTTTGGGGAGGTGGGTTGCCAGGCCCTCTTTCTGTGGTATGACTGGGTGGATTACCGTTTACAGCCAAGTCTTTGAACTCTTTGCCACGCCCAGGGACTAAACACCCTCTGACAGATCGCCCATGGCTAGAAGCCCACCAGAGGGTCT